ATATATATAAATATAAAATAACACTAATTTTTTTTATTTTTTTAAAGTTATTTTTAAGTTATTGTTACATTATGTTATGCAAGTTAAGTTTTAGTATCATATCCCTTCTCCCTCTCCTCCGCCACCTGTTTACACCTCCATTGTCGTCTATCCTTAAAGGTAAAGTGCAAATAAAACTACATTTTCTTTATCAATTATTATTCTATTATGGTTATTTATACATTTACTACTACAAAACGCATTTTTCAGTGTTTTTTTTTACTATAATTACTTTTTTTTAATGTACTACTTAGCTTTAATTTGAGTGTGTTTTTCGTGTTGGAACGGATTATTTGGTTTTACATGTAATCCTATGGGGAAAAATGATTCACCTTACAACATTTTCATGATACGATCTCAGTTTCAGAATGGATTAATTTCGTATCCTGAGCACTGTAACACTGTATTGTAACATTGTATATGGCAACCCCTATTGTTTCAACAGCTGCAATTAGTTGGTCTGAGGATGCCCATTCAACAGGGGCAAAAACATCAGCACTTCCCACATTTTTTTCTTCTAGTTATTTGGTTTATTTGTGGCTTTGTATCAAGTTTACCTAGTTTTTGAGTGGTTGTATCTAATATATATTATATTAAAAGTTGTTTTCTTGAATTCGTTCTTAACCACAAAAAATAATAATAATAATAATTATAATAAGTCTTTGATTTTTAAATGAAACCTTTCATGATATGTATTTAAGCTTTTTAAGTTCTAATTAAAAATTTAGTATTGGTTAATGAAAAGATTTATAAAAATACTATATATTAGACACATAATTATTAAGCTAGTAAATTTTATTGCTTATTTAAACTAAAAGAAATAAAGTCTTAATAAATAACAATAGTAAGGAATATAATTTTAAAATGTAATACTCTTTTTTTTATACATATATTTATTACTCACTCCAATTTGGATATGCACTGTAATCACCATCACCACGAAGAAATGGTTCTACTACAATACTAAATTGGGATTCGTTTGAAACATTTGAACTCTGCGCAGATACCCAATGCCCTTTAACATAATTAGTTTGTTTTGCTTCAGCTAATTCACTGATAGCTTTTTCATTAGATTCATTGCTGAAAAATATTTTATAATATTTATGAATACAATTACTGCAGTATAAATTTCTTTAAATATATAAAAATATTAAAATTTTNATAAAAACTTCATCTTCATAATGTTTCTATAATTTCTTCAGAAATAAAAATTCAAATGTTAAGTTTTGTTGAAAATTTTTTGTTTAAAACTGCTGTATTTTGTTTGTCTTAATCTATAAAATGTATTAATTATAAGCATTAATATAATGAATGAACAAAATATGAATATAGTATTAATATACAAACAAGCTAAACAAACACTAGATTTTTATTATAGGGATACAAGCAAGTAAATGAAATTAATGATTTGAAACAATATTTTCAATTAATTGTGGAAATATTTCCATCTATTAATAACAACAGAATTTAGATAATTTTAAAGAAAGTCTGCTTAGAACAAGATTCAAACCTACAATTTTTATAAATTTGAATAAAGATTTATATTCATAAATTCATTTCATTCAATAAATGTAAGAAATGTGAATTTGCTTTATCAGAAATGACCATTTCAAAACTTATGATAACAATATACAAACAATAAGCAAATATTTATTCTGACATCATCACAATGCTGGGCTGCAATTTTTAATCATATTTTTTAATTGATTTAATTTAAAATATATGCTCGTCACCTTCAAATTAGTAGTCTTGCCTCTATATATCATACTTTTTCTTTAGCAATTGAGTCATGCAGGTCATCTGTCTAACTCCTTTCAGGGGAAATTTTTGAATTGAAATAACATGACTTCTAGTTTGCATTGAAAGTTCACATATAGTTTATTGGGCCTTCTGCCCTTAGGCTTTCCATATCTGGTCTCGGCCTTCATCTATCTAACTCCATTGCTGAGATTAATGAAGGATAGATGGACAACAGTGGGATTTTATATCTATAATTTTTTCAAATTGCAGCCCAAAAATTGTTAAGAAATAAATCTTTAAATATTGATTAAGACAAACTAACTTACTGATTGCACAATATATTTGCATAGTTAAATAGATAAGAATTATTATAGTGAATTATTAACATTGATTTTATTCATGAAATTTTATTTAGTTCTAAAAACATGAGAAATTATAAAATTTAACATACAAGATGACTGAAAAGTTATTATGCAGTGACAAATTTGTAATGATATTAAAGTTATACATATACAGTAGTATTGCACAGAAGACCTGTAAGTTGTCAATACTGTATGCAACTGTTACTGAATGGACAACGTACTAGACTCATATGCAATACCATATGTATAATATCATTACAAATTTCTCACTGCATAATAACTTTTCAGATATCCTGTATTTATGAGGTAGAAATCTGATAATTTTTTACTTTTATTAATTTATTTGTAATTGCAATATTACAATTTAAATAATATAATATTCTGAAAATTTCCATTCTAACAAAGTAGATTTCCAACAGAAAAGAGTATTATTCTTATTTCTGTCTGCAAATCAACATGACAGAAAAACAAAGATTTGCATGACAGAAAATTTGCAGGCAGAAAACAATGATACTCTTATTATTATAACAAACAAATATGAAAGTAAGTTATATAAAAATATTTTCTTACCTATCTAAACATATTTAATCATCTAACTTTTCATATAATAATTTTAAAACACATTAATAACAAATAAATGTAAAAAACTGATACTAATTACTCATCTTCAGAATTAATTTTTACAGATACATTTTCAATACAGTTAATTTATATTGGTAATCTAAAATGATGTTCAAAGTATAACTATAAAAACATATCCTCTGAAAATTACTAATCAAAACTCAAAAATAATTGATTTATTGAGTTTATTTTTGCATATTAATATATTGTAGAAGTGATTCCATGTTAAAGTAATAATAATTAGAAAGAAATATACATAAAAATTCCAATTTAACAGTTAACAAATGCTAATATTGGTACAAATTTTTTGTTTAAATATTAAAATTTAATGCAGCTATCTACAATACCTTAACACAATAAATGGAAAATCTACAAATTAATAATTAGTACTAATTGTTTTATTTTGTGAGCTAGAGTGCAGTAGTTTTCAGGAAAATTTTGGGTCCTGAAAATATTCTGCACCCTAGATCAACCATAGAGATTCATACAACTTTGCAAGACCTTCGAAGTGGCTAACACATGTTAACTAACTGCCGTAGATCCCATTAAAATATCATCATCTCATTTTATTTTATTTCATTTACTTTTATTTACTGTTAATAAGTTAATTTCTCATTGTCTTTAATTTTATTTTGTATTCAACTTTCTTAACAGTATTTGGATTCCCATAATAGCATTCACTTTTTGCTTTCCTGAAGATGAGTAAGAACTCAAAAGTACTTGAAAGTTATGTAACTATTGTTCATATACTCCATTAAAGCATATCTCATAGCTTAATAAAAGCTTTAATAATTTTAGGAATACCATTACAGTAGAACCTCGAAAACTCAGCTCTCGATAACCCGGCACTCCGGATAACTCGGCCACACCCTGGCAGGGCAAAAAAATCCTTAGTTAATTCATTTTCATTAGAGACAGCTTTATAAAAGTATAAAAGCTCTCATAAAGTATTTTTCTGAGGTCTGTCTTATCAGGTAAATTNTAATAATTATCAATAAAAATAAAATGTATTCAAAATAATAAATATTAAACTTAGGAAAATATAGTATTCTCTTGTGAAAAATTGCAAATTCTTAAGTATTACAAATCTAAAACCATTATAATTCAAAATCAAAAATAAAAATACTTCTGAAGGCATTAAACAAACAAAATTAATCTGGAGAATAGACAAACGTTGTATTTAAATTCTTTTAAGATGAAGCTATTAAATTAAAAAAAATATTCAAATAATTTGAAAATGAATTAAAAGTACAGGATTCCTATATAACAGGGATGGCCAGCACATAGCACGCGGTCGACCAGTCGACTGCAAAGGTTTTGAAAGTAGCCCGCGAAGCTAAAGTTGAACAATTTGCTTTCACTTAAATTAATGTTTAAAAATCTTAATTCGATAATTTATTCTTACAATAATAGAGTTAACAATTGTCTGTGCAACTTACCCATACTGTTTGTATTTATCCTGATGAACAATGCAAATGAATGTTAACGCATGCGCATATAGAAATCCTAAAATTGTTTGCCCATATTCATAGTCGACCACAGACTATATTTTACCAAAAAAGTAGCCCCTAAGGGATAAAAGTTTGGCCACACCTGCTATATAAGGACTGCCAAGGAAATCCTAGTTAGAGCAAGTGGATGAGCATTTGAAGGAATAAAAGATTATGAACATAAGAAATGTGAGAAAATGTGTTAGAAGAAAAAGTGACAGAAGTGAAAGGAATATGTAGACACAGAAATATGTCTGAAGGAAGCTAACAAATGGATAAGTTTGTGTGTGATTGTAATCATGATATATACAATATATACATTACATATTAATGTATAATGTGTATAATCAGACATACATATAATAAATATATGTCAGATGCCTGATATCCACTTCCATTGAGTTTATATATATAATCATTTAATTATAATAAAATAAATGATCAAAAGTTAACTTAATTCAGATTCTTAATAAAAAAAACTTACTACAAATAATAATTTCACTGATGATCACAGTATATTAGGTTATTAAATTTTTTACTTCAAATTAATACACCAAATTCAAACTTACATAGCCAGATAAAACAAATAAATTTTTAAAAATACATTTTGTAAATAGAAGTTACTTTCATAAATAAAAGAAAAATACGAAAAATATTTGTACTTCAAAAATTCATTTTCATGTAAATTAGTAAAATTTCATCTTCCTACCTAATTAGTAACACAAATAATTATTAAACTTATGCTCATTTAGAGAAAATCCTTTCTTAAAACAAAAGTCCTCATGTATGATGAACATATCCTCTATTGCTCATTCTAGCCATTTATATATATATATACTAGCAGACCCCGCTACACATCATTGTGGCTCAAAATGTATCTATTATAAATGTATAACACTTCCCCTGTGGGGGAATTTTTCGAAAAATTCCTTCTTAGTGTACATTCTCTTCATGTACCCTATTAAAACCACATCTAAAATAGTATAATAGAAGCCAAGTTCTTCACGATAAGCCTTAATCCTGTCCATCTCCCCCAAGTGGGGGGAATTTCAACATGTATATTATATAAAAACACGTGTGTATTCGAATGCAGCATTGTGTCAAAATTTTAAAGGATTTGATAGGAACAAATGAACATTACATTTTTATTTATATAGATAGAGAGAAGATGATCTGCTTTAGTTCATCCTCACAGAAAAGCAAAATTAGGGCGTCATACTCGTAATGCCATCTGTTGGACATAAAAGCCTTAACTTAGATGATATCTTTTAATTTATATGAATGTTTAACAGAATAATATACAGCCTATGTCCACCCTGAAGTTCCATTCTAAATATCGGTGAAAAAATTTTTGAAATCGGATGAGTAGTTTCAGAGATTACAAACATTACCTCTTTATAATATTAGTATAGATAAACTTAAAAGTTATTGTGTTTATATATAGTAATTAATACAATAGACAAACACAAAATTATTTTGTTTGTCTATTATAGTAATTTAAAAACAAATATAAAATAAAAACACTTTTTTTTTATTAATTAATCTTTGACATGTGCAACAGTGTATTCCAAGAACAAGATTAGAATAAAACTGAAGAACTGCTGTTTATTAGATAGATAAAGCGATACATAATATCCACTCAGTTAATAAATTTGATTAAGAACTCTCATGTTTACTATGCTACTAAAATGATTTGGTTTATAAAATTTGTTCTTCTTTAGCTTGGTTATAAATCAATTTATTACAATATATCTAAATGCATTTTTTATTTTGTATTATACAACTATTAAAATTTAATAGGAACCAAATAAGTCACCAAAACAACACATATAGAACAGAAAAATACTATTAAAATATTTAGTAATTG